TTTCTCCAACCTCCTACCTCCCTCCTCGGCCGCTCCCAACTTCTACCCACCTTCATCATTCCATGGCTGCTCCCCTTGATAAGGTCACAATGACCCTTTGTCATTAGATCCAAAAGGAACTTTTCATTATTCACCTGACACAGTCTTTAGGTGGAAAACTTCTACCTATGATTGGAACAACTTGACTATGTGGATCTTGTTTTATAATTGTGAATCTTATAAAAATCTAAACACAGAACAGGCTCATCGGATCGAATTAAGCTGACAAATCAAAATTGCTATAAGCAGAACATATAAACTAGATTTCTGTGGCAGTTCCCCAACTTCACCAGACCATGATAGGACACCCCCAAAAAACCTTTCCTGGTATCAGTCCTCTGGCATAACAACCTTCCCCATCCAACAGCTCCAAACTGTTGTCCCAAACTTTCGCCTGCCACTCATGTCTCTCCCAGAGAGGCGCACGCAGGGGTCCGACATCAGTGTGGACCTCCAGGATCTGAATCTGGACCTTTATCTAGCTCTTTCCTTGGACCTCTGCCTCCCTCTCTGAGTCCAGGGCTCCAGGCTTAGACTGGAAACCACCCCAAGCCTCCTGCCAGGACCTGAAGATGTCTCAGAGCTGGTTGACCTCAGGCACCGTCACTCCGTACCTAGATTGATCAATTTCCTAGTGTGCGCACGCTGTATGCATTAGTCCTTTTTCTGTTGCTAAACAGCTCAAGGCCACAGACTGGATATGTTTCAAAGAAGAGGGGTTTGTTTGGGCTCAGGACTCTGGAGGAACCAAATCGAGGGCTGGATCTCGTGATGGCCTTCTTGCTCTCAGGGTTCTGAGGCAGCACAGGCCACCAACTGGTGAGAGACAGGGAGTGTGCACCTGTCTGTGCCTCCTGCTCTCTCCCCCCTTCCGATAGAGCCATCAGAATTCAGCCACGGGGTCTGTACCCTGATGACCTTATCTAATCTCAATCCTCCCCTAATGGTCCCATCTCTGAACACCATAGTCAGCCTAAGTTTCCATCCTCTTTGTAGCTCACAATGGGGGACAAAACTCCAACAGGAGTTCCAGAGGGGACAAAGCACATTCAAGCCATGACACTCTATTACCAAGAAACATGCTCTGTTCATAAACTATGGGCACCTGCTCCTTCTTGGGTGTGTCCCATAGTCATCCATCGCTTTGGGAAATCTATGATGCTGCAAATGCTCCGAGAAAGGGAAGGACTGCCTGGAGCCCAAATAAAACGTTCTTATAACTCCATGGCTCACGCTCCTCAGACCGCCTCATCCCCACTCAACTGAACCTAGCCACACTTGGAAAACGCGCTGTCAGGTGCAGGTAAGAGTTCTCTCCCAGCACTGGGTCACCTGGAAACTCATCAGAAACACCTATAACATCTATTCCACCTTATTTCAGGACTATCCCTCCCACCCCAATTTCTGTACATTCCCTGTGGCTTAACATACCAGGTATGTAACATAGATTTGATCTCACCGCCCCAAGACGGTTCTCGATTTCTACAGAAGGACTCTTTTTTTTCTCCAAACTATATAATCTCTTGATAATACTCAGGTGCCCTGCACTCTCAACACCAAGCCCTTTATTTAAAAAAAAATAATGGAGTTCCCGAATGACATACAAGTGACTGGTATTTTTGGTCTTCCCAGAGGTTCACATTGAGGTGCTGTTCCCCTATTGGATTCTGAGACTTGACATATTCATCTAGTCTTTCTTTCATTAATGTGTTTTTATTCTTTTGTTTCTTCTTCAGACACCTGTTCAGTTTCACACGCCTGACAGTTTTCTAGGCAAACTTGGAGACACACAGCAGAGTCCCCAGTTCCTGTGTAGGGAAGCAGCAGGAAATGGGTATGGTGGTTTCATACGTAAGTCGTCTTTGGAGAAAATGCAATGCTGGGGTGGAAAATGCAGATGAGTGGGGCCAGTGGGTGGGTGGGAGGCACTGCCTTATTTTGAAGGACCAGAAAAATGTGCACAGGGTTCTTTGTGATAGGAGGCCTAAAATAAGGATACAATTAAATAGTTGTAGTAATATAAATGTTGTATATGCATCTAATAAAAATGATACGAGGCTACAAAGATCAGAGTGTGTATGGGGTGGATAAATCTGTTATGATGGTGGTTACATAGTAACTGTTGTGGACTGTTTATGCCCTTCTAGCATTCATATGCTGAAATCCTGACCCCCTGCCATGTTTTGGCATTCGGAGGTGAGGCCTTTAGGGGGGGCAGCAATTGGGTCATAAGGAGGGAAGCTTCATGAAGGGGGCATAAATGTGACTCCGACTAGTCTTTTGTCTGAACATTTAGCCTGAACATAAGGCCCTGGCGGCTGCACCCAAAAACAACTGTTTTGAGATAAGTATGATGTCAGGCATGGACTCACACGAACAGCCACGTGTGGTCAGCTTTGGCCTGAGCCCAGCGTGTGGAGCACTTTGACCAAAGCCATCCGCACCTCCATGTTGCCCCTCTGAGGGCTGTGGTGAGCACCAGGCACCATGTACCTGAACACCTCAGATCCACAGAAGAGTCCCATGACCGTGATGTGTGAGGAGCAGGTGGCCAAGGCCTTGCTTCAGGGCCTCCTTTGAGTGCAGGAGCAGAACAGCCATAGGGGGCGGCAATGAGGGCCAGCGGCAGCACCAGGATCAGCACTCCCGAGGTGGACAGCGCCCGCTCATAGGCCGAGGTGTCCACACAGGAGAGCTTCAGCAGGGCTGGCACCTCACAGAAGAAGTGGTCCACGGTGCGGGAGCCACAGTAGGGGAAGTGCAGGGTGATGGAGGTCTGCGTGCAAGCACTGAGCACACCATGAGCAGGCACACCTGGCATCTCATGAGCACAGGGTACTGCAGGGGGTGGCACACAGCAATGGACCGGTCGTATGACATGAGGGCCAGCAGGACGCCCTTGGCCACACACATCAGTGTCAGGAAGAATAATTTAAGATGTACTATCTCCAAAGGAGATGGAACCTCCGTGCAGAAGTGTGATGCCATCTCAGAGATGGTGGCCAGAAGGAAGTGAGTGTCAAAGGGGGAAGTAAGTTGAGCACAAAGTACTAGGGGTCTGATCAGGAAAAAATGGGATGCTGTTTTCCAGAAATCCTTAAAGAGACAACCACCACCAGAATAGAAGGCACAGATACAGCCCAGAGAGACTGAAAAGGCCAAAAGTGTGATTTCTAAGGCCAGTGAATGATTTACAGCCCCCATGCTTTATTCAACATACTTTAATTGCAGGACAAAGAGAAACCTTCAGCAAGAAACCTTAGAGGCAATGGCAAAGATGTCTAATCTCATGCCAACCACCATTAATCAATAGTGGCTTCCTGTGAGTGCTCTCTTGAGAAGCATTATGATATGCAACTTAAATCAGAAGGAAAATATGCCATAACCATTTATCTTCTTGCTGAAGCATCATATGAACTTATGCTATAAGGTCCTTTGTTGATTCTGCTGGCTCACAACCAGGAGCTGTCCACTATGAAAGTTAGCAGCCTCTTGCCCTTGCAGCTACTAAGGCTTCCCAGCTCCACTCCCCAAAGCCACCACACTCCAATCACCCTGGGGTCCCCAGAATCCGGGTAAACATTGTACTAAAGAGGTGTTTAGAATGCAGTCGGTAGTTTGTTCAGGGCAAGGGAGAGGCCTCACTGTGAGAAACTACAATTGGAGTCTTTGGGCTTAGAAAAGAGAACACGTCGTCAATGGTAAGATCACTCAAGACTACACTCCTCATTTTTTCCTTTGCATTTATCAATATCTAACACATCATGTGTTTTATTTGTAATATTCATTGTTCACTCCCCCTGCCCACCATTAAAATCCAAGTTCTCTGAGATTAGGAAATCTTGTATGCTTTGTGCAATACATATTTCCAGTATCTAAAACAGTGACTTACTAGGTATAAGAATTTGTTCTATAAATTACTACAGCATACATACACATACATATACATACATACACATACATGTACACACTCTATCTGGAAGTCCTCTGGGCAAGAGGACTGAGAGACAATGGTGGGATTTAGGATATTTTACTGAATGTGTAGCACTGAAGATTTCCTATACATGTATCTAAGACTTAATGCCCTCCTGTGTCCACAAAGTTTTTAAACTAAGATAGTATTAAATCCTTATCTTCTGCCTTGGGAAAGCAAGTTATAGGGAACTGTGCATATAAAACCTGATTCTATTGGGCTATGTGATCATGGAGATCAGACTGAAGAAAAGTTGTTTCTAAGCGTCCTTCTATCTCTACAGTCCAAGAAAAGTCTCACCTCTAACATCCCCAGAGCTGGTCTCTAAAATCCCTAGCCCCAGGGGACTTTTGGCAACCCCATTCTACAACCCAGCCCTTCTGTAATTCACTCCTGGGATTGGTCTCTGCCCACAGCCCCGCCCCCAAACCTAGGTTCCACCCACCACAGTCAGCCTGTCTCTCCAAGTCTGGGCCTCCCCGCCCCGCCCCCAGCACTGGGCCCCGCCCCTGCCCCGCCCCCGGAACCGGTCTCCACCCACAGGCAGGCCCCGCCTCCCGGGCCCGACGCCTTCCACTGCTTGGCACCCGCCAGCTGACCCCGCTCCTCCCTACGACTCCCACCCAGGACTGATGTCTCCCCCGCGGTTGACCCACCCAAGGGCACAACCGTGCACACGCTCACTAAGAAAACTAAAACAGCTCAGCCCGAGAAGGGGCTGCGCGATCAGCATCCTCGCCCGCCCCACGCAGTCCCAAACTAGAGGAGCTGTCTGTGGCTGACAGCCCGAGACCGGAAGTGGACTGCGGGACGTCCCGCCCACGACCGGAAGCGCGGGGCGGTGCCGTGGGAGGAGCCGCGCGTCGCGCGCTGGGGAGCGAGGCCGGTCGTCTCCGCGAGTCGGCGCGTTGGGCGCTCGGGAGGGGCCGGAGGCGGTGAGCGGCGGGAGGGGCTCGGGTGCGAGTTCAGGGAGGGGCGTGGGCCGCGGGCACCCCCGACCGCGGGCTCGGCGTCCCTCCGCCCATCCCGGGAGCCCCGCCTCTGCGTGAGGCCTCAGGCTGCTCCTTGGGGTCAGCGCCCCGCTGCCGTTTCCCCAGGTGGGACCCCGCGTCACCCCGCGGAGCCCCCGCATCGTCCGCCCCGGGGGCGAGTCTACAGGCGTTTGGATTGTAGATCGGGGCTGGGGGCAGTGCTCCTGTCCCTCGCGGTGAAGGTCCTGGGACGCCGCGTCCACAGCTCGGTGCAGCCCCCCACAACAAAGAGCTGTGTGCCGAGCGGGGAGCCCTGCCTGCGGCCTCGCATCTCAAGTCCCGAATGAACCAGATGAGCTGCTTAGAATTCAGCTGAGTCACGTACAGGGCCTCTAAGTGACGAGACGTTTCCGATTTTATGGTGACGTCTGGAGTCACCATAAAAATCTTTCCAGCCAGATTGGTTGAGCAAGTCCAAGTGTACACACGAAGCCGCCTTCTCCCRTCTTGAGCACATGTGCGTAGGAATAAGGTAAATCCCTGCAGGCCAGCAGGTTGGGTCCTCATCACACCTTAAGCCCATAAGTACAAAAAAGAAGAAGGGAAAACGGAGAATGGAGTGGTTTATTCCTGTCTAACAACCGTATTATAAAAGGCTTCAAAATCAATTCTTGGGCCTTTTTTCTTTTTTTCAGAAAAGAAAAGCGTCGTTCAAATTCAGGTTTATGATGAAACCAGCCTCAGTGATCCACTGATCTGTGGAACTCAGTGTGACCAGGTGAGTACAATGTGGAACTGAACAGGCTCCTAGATAGGATGGCCAGTGCACCTTTTCCTGTACTTAGGTTGTACCCAGAAGGAGGGACTAAGAGTGAAAGTATCTTAAGAAAAATTATTCGATGGCTTATATTCAGGGGAAGGATTCTAAAATATGTATGTGTAAATAAGTAAATATAGTTAAATGCATATAAGCCTACAAGACATCCATGTAAGTAACTTTAAGCATATGTAATTATTTTCTGTATGTATGCCCTAATATTTTAAAATGCAGGATTTTATGTAAATATAAATATAAAAAATATTTATGTGTATTTATTCCTATTTATTTAGTGTTATTAGGCTTCCCACTAAAGGCTACCAGGATACTTAGCAGCGTTTCTCAGACCCATCCCATTCTAAACCTATAAATCCTCCACAAAGCTTCAAAACACAGTGGTATTTGCAAAAAAGATGATTTGAGCATCCTTGTTTAGTAACAGAAATTTTAAATTGGGTTGAACAGCAACCGGATGTATTTTGAACAGTTGTTTGTTTCCCCCCCCCCTCCTACTGAGATTTAAAACATTTGGGAAGGGCCTGGGGCTATAGCTCAGTGGTAGAGTGCTTAACTTGCACCTGTGAGGCACTGGGTTCTATCTATAGCACCACTTTAAAAAAAAATTTTTTTTAAGTAAAATTAAGGTATAGTGTCCATCTACAATTGAAAAGAAGAATTTAAATTTTAAAAATTTGGGAAATTAATTAAGCAACAACTCATAGACTAAAGTCGAAGAAACTCATTTCCAAAAAAGAAAATAAAAGATGGTCMTCAACATTTTGCCTCCTAATAGGAATTAACTTATTTCTTAAAACTTCTGAAATAGCAATATGGCCCATTTTATAATGCTGAGAATCTCAAATTATTTTATTTTAATTGTGGGATTTTATTATGTATATGTGTATTTCTCATTCTAGCTTTCTTGTAACATTGTTAAAGAATGCTTATCACACCATATACATTATTTGGGTACACAATTTAAGGTGACAGATTGTTCCTACTTATTTGAGACTAAGGGGTTTTCCAGGACACAGGACACTCAGTGTTCAAACCAGGACAGCACTAGGCAAACCAGCTGTTGGTCACCTCCTTGAGCCATGCCCTGGTCCAGATGCATTCGAACCCTGGAAAAAACAGACCTCGTACTGCCTCCCTGGAGTGTCCATTCTAACTGGGAAGATGAATTTAAATGAGTATTATGGGACTCACTGTGAGGGGACAGAGAATCCTCTTGGAAAATTCTAGTATCTAGCTTGAGAGTTAAAGSGGGGTTTGAGTCTAGCTAGTTGCAGGGTTAGATGGGTGAGGGCCCTAGGGTGTGTTCAAGAGACTACTGCATGTCGAGGGACCAGCATAAGGAAAACCTCTGAGCAGGAGAGGACCCAGCACACTCTGGGAACGGGGAAGACAGTGTGCATCAGGCCCAACCCAAAGGCAGAAGCAGACCTGGCCTGGCTGTTCTCTGTTCTGAGGCCAGTGTGAGGACACCAAGGACATGAGAGCTGGAGGGTGGTATGATGTGCATTTGCTCTCAGGCTGTGGGACTTCAGGACTCCAAATGAAGGCTTGAATCAGGCAAGATAGGAGTTGTTAGGGAGAAGTTTGGGAATCAGATGATCATTCCTGAGTTTACATGGTGCTTACAAAGTAAGAAAGAGGTAGAAAGATGGAATTGGGGAGTTTAGAACAGAGAGAAAGTGCCAGTGCTCGCTCTCATTGCTCTCACTGAAAGCACATTTGCATTCATCAGATGGCATCGTGGACTAGTGTGCTTCTGACTTCTACCTGTGCAAACCTGCAGCCAGCCCCTCACCCAAGGCCACACGCCCACCGTCGTTTTGCCACTCCCAGGATCCTTCCTGCATCTTAGAGGAGTCAGGCCCAAGTATGTCTACGGCTGCCCTGTTGTACTGTGGTACCTGCTAAACACAATGAAAAGGTCATTTTCTCTGTCCCACAGATAACATTTTAAACTCAGTAGCCACATGTGGTTAGTTAATGGCCACCATATTGGACAGAGCAGTATTATAGAACATTTCTGTCATCCCCAAAAGTTCTATTGGACATCACTGATGTAGAATGGCCCATCCTCTGTGACCCTTTTCCAACACCAACATATCCAGAGCAGGGCAAGAGTCACCAAATCCAACTGAACAGAATCTCCTTCTGCCCCAATGGGAGAGTTCAGGAAGAGGAGCTTGTGGCCTGAAAAGATCTCAGTGCCTCCTCTGCCTGCTTTCTTCTTGGGGTCCCAGTGAGCTGGCTGGATCCCAACCCTTTCTCCCTCCTCAATTCAGTAACCAAACTATACCTGAGCACAACTTAGGTCCCTGCTGGGGAGATAGGACCTCCTGTACCTGTGGAGGCAGGACAGTTCTGTCACAGTTCCCCAGTCAGCTGGCCTTGCACAAAGACCTCAGGAAGGTTTGATGTGAGGGGCTGCAGTCTGCACTTATGTCACTGTGGTGTGCATTGGTGACTGCCAGGGGCATCACCCTTAAGGTAGCAGTAGTAGTGGACACCAGGTAGTGGTATGTGAGGAAGCGAGTGGGATGGGAGTGAGTGACTCTGGCTGGGTTGAGGGAAAGAGACTGGCAGTCACAGAAAGAAAACCATGCTCGGAGCATAGGTGTGTTTCACTGCTGGGGATCCTAGACCTGACTTGAATGGAGAGGGGAGAACTTGAAAGGAAAGGATGACCAGAGACTATCAAGAGTGGACAGACAGCTCCTACAAAGCAGGAGACAGACCCCAGGACAGAGCTGCCGAGTGCAGCCTGCAGAGAGCAGGGGGCTATGCCTTGTCTAACAGGGGAAGGGAGGCAGGGCAGATCTCTCAGGGGTGTTGTGGATCAGGAATGCAGGAGCAGTGTGGCTGAAAGGGTCTGGCTTGGGACTGTCCGAGGTTTCAGGGGACTTCCACCTGGGGCTGTCCCATCTGCAAGATCCACGAACTCCAGGATTCTCCAGGCCTCCCTGTGGCTGGCAGGTCAGTGCCGGCCTCAGCTCCTCTCCCCCTAAGCCTCAGGCAGGGCCTCTTGCTCGTCCCTAGCATGGAAGCCGATGTCCCCTGGAGCAAACGAGCATACAGGAGCCTGAGGCGGAAGCTGCAATGCCTTCTAGGACCTGTCCTCAGAAGTCCTCCCTGTCGCCCCCTCAGCAGAGCCAGCCCTCATTCAGACATGTCAGGGGCCACACAAGAGTCTGGCCCCCGGAGGCTAGGGTCATCAAGGCCAATTAGGAAGCTGGTTGCCTTGGAGGGAAATAGGGAGCTTTTGCAAGACTCGTGGGGAGGTGACAGGTGAGGTGAGTGAGGCTACATGGTCCTTGTGGGGTTGTCCTGCAGGGTTGGTGCCTCTGTTCATATTGATGAGCTTGTTTGTCTAGAGGTGACCATATCACAGCCCTTGTGCAGGCTGATGTGCTCAAATGTGGCCACAAGCAGGTGGTGATGGAATCCTGGCTGGCTGCAGTTCTGCTGGGCCACCGTAAGCTCGAGGTGGGGATAAGGACATGTGTTGACAGGGGGATGATGAAGTCAAGCTAGGTGTGTGTGAAATGAGAGAGGAGCTGGCCCATGTCGAACAAGGAAATGGGAGAGGGTGGCTGGAGGCCCGGTATGCTCAGATGTGAGGAAAGGAAAAAATGAGTGAACAGTAGAAAAGAAAGAAGGTTCAATTCAGAGAGATGGAAATTTCTGATTRTTCCAGGTGGTACACCAGGGCCAGTGGATGACCATGGCAAGGTGGGGTCGATGGGGAATGGGGCAGGGGCCTTGGATTGAGACACCCCTAATGTTGTGAGCATCACTGCCATCCACCAAATGAGGTGGGACTGGAGGCTCAAGGAATAATGAGAGTCAGGGGCAAAGTCTCAGAATTTGAGGGGTCGCAGCTGTGAGGTTTATGATAACAACTGGGATGGGAAGAATATTCAGGAGACTCAGTGAAGCCACACTTTTGAAGAGGAGTGGAGCAGTGACATATTGGTCCTACCCCTGGGGACAGGAAGACACCTTGTGCCATCGCTTGGCTCTGCCATTATGATACACAGTGTGTTGGTTTTCATGCATCCTTCCTAGCTCAGCTTCCTCCCTGTGTCAGGCTGTGAAGTGAAATTTCTCTTCTCCAAGGCAGGATCTAGTCTTCTCCTGCCTCTGGCTGGCCACAGGGGAGTTCTCTGACCTACCTTGTCTGATAATGGGTCATAGACACTGCTCATTCCAGAGGGGTTCTGTCCCATGCTCTGGGTAAGGAAAGCCCAACGGAGAGGCCAGRGAGATCCGGACAGACAGGCCTGGTGGCTTTCCCTGCTCCATCTGTTGGCCGTCATGCCTGTGCAGTGAAGTCTGCATAAAAATCCAAAAGATCAGGGTTCTGAGAGATCCCAGGTAACTGTACGAGAGGTTCCCGGAGGGGGACACAGCCAGAGAAGGCACCCCTTCCCCATGCGTCCCCTGTGTACCTCCATCTGTGCCTTTGTGATATCCTTTATAAGGAACCAGTGTCTGTAGGTGATTCCCTGAGTTCTCCAAGCCATTGAGTAAGTACATCAAACCTGAGGAGGCGCTTGTGGGAAACCCCATTTACAGCCATTGGTCAGAGCACACAGAACAACCTGGGACTTGTGACTCACATTTAAAGTGCAGGGGAAGGCCTTGGAGATGAGCCCCCGAACTGTGGGCTGTGACACCCTATCAAGGGAGAAAATGTGCCCAGCTGGTGTCCACTGCAAAATCATTTGCCTACTTGTTTGTGGGGAGAAATCCACATAGCTGGTGTCAAAATTCCATGCTGATGTGGTGTGAGAGTGAAAGGAAAACAGTTGCTTTTTTTTTTTTTTTTTAATTTTTCCCTGACATACAACCTGCTAAGCAGAATAAAGACCAAGTGTGGAAGACAGAACTTGTATTTTGAGGAGGGCATGGTAGACAGGCTAAGAAAGACTTACTTGTCCTCAGCAGCTCCAAGAGGGAGAGGCTGTGCAGACTTCCTATCTCCTGCTTGTTCCAGAGCGCTCTCCCAGTGCCCCGTGGGAGCAAGAGGAGGGTCCTGTTTCCCACCACCCTGGTGTTCAGAAGCTTTGCTGTTGGAGTCACAGGATGGCAGCCACTGTTCTGCCCCCCACTTGTGGTGAGTCAGGGGGTCTTGGCAGCCCATTTCAGGCTTGAGGATCCATAGCCCCCAGAGCAGTACAGAGGAGAGGGCCATACAGGTGAGGTAGGTGTGGGCCCAGAGGCCTCGGGGTCAGGTGGGGTGGCTCCTGGGACTTAGGACTTGGGTGTTTGTATGTTAGTGCTTTGTCACCTACATGGTGAATATGTGGGAGTTTTTGAATTAATCCTTAATTCTTTCGGTAAACTTGAGAAAAACTTGAGAACTTCAATGTCCTCATCTGTGAGATGGCAGCAATCTCTTCTCCATGTGCAGTCAGACCTTTGAGTCCTGTTTTCTGGCCAGGGTGAGACAGCTTTGTCCAGGTTTTCTGTGAAAGTGCAGGTGGGTATCTGTGTGGGTGGGCTTGTTTATGGGCTGTGTGTCTTGGTGTATGGTCAAGCACAGGTGGATGGAGAAGCCTCCAGAGTGTCAGCACTGGGCATTCTGGATTCTTGTGACTTGTTCCTTCTTCCCCAGATCAGTCCTCCCTGTGCCCAGCCCCTCACAGGAAACCATGCAGAGGGAAGGAGGGGCTGGCTGGTGAGCTCCTGGCCAGCTGGCTACAGGTGAGTCGGCTCTTCCTTTTTCCTGTCGTCATTCCTTTGGACTTGCTTCCTTTAGTGGCCTGGAGCCTCACAACTGATGGGTCCTTAGGCATCACAGGACCCCCAGGCCCCCTATGAGGGTTCAGGGGCTGCACAGAAGACGTCCAAGTACGTCAATACCTACTACATTGTCAAAGCTCCCTCTTAGCTCCATAAATGCATCACGTGCTTCTGAGAGTTCAAGGGGAAGCTGAGAAGAGATGGCCATGTCCTCAACTCAGACAGCTTTTTATTGTAGATGGACAGCGTGCCTTTATTTTACTTTATTATTTTTTATGTGGTGCTAAAGATTGAACCCAGTGCCTCACACATGCTAGGCAAGCATTCTGCACTGAGCCCCAGCCCCAGCCCCTCAGACAACTTTTGATGGCTGTGGGGAATCATTCATTCCTTTACCAGGTATTTCTGCTCAACCCTGGAGTTGAGGGAAGGAAGACTCCAAGGGCTCACAATCAGTAGGAAAAGAAGGTCTCTGTAGCGCTGGATCTGGGGGTGGGCCCAGTAGACAGGAGGCAAGCACGGAGGACAGAGCCCAGACCTGCCCACCCGTATCCTGCTCCAGGTTTCCTGTCCCTGGATCTGTCATCCTGGACCTCTTCCTGTTGGTTTTGGCAGCTCTGTAGCTAAGCCATAATGTTTGTGATGGTCTAGGACCTGGTGACCTTCAAGGATGTGGCTGTGGAGTTCTCCCAGGAGGAGTGGGCATTGCTGGACCCGTCTCAAAGAACTCTGTACCGAGATGTGATGTTGGAGAACTGCAGGAACCTGGCCTCCCTTGGTAAGCCCAACGTCAGCCCTGCATTGATTTAATGACTCAGGTAGCAAGACTTTCCTTTTATTCTGATTTTATTTTTATTGATGTAAAATTCAACAGTTGAATTATTGCAGAATGTACCATCAAGTGGCTTTTAATGTTCTCAGTGTTGTGTGCCATCATCAGCACTACAAAGTCAGAACTCTTTTTCACCCCTGCTCTGGTTTAACTATGGTGTCTCCCCCAAAGGTTCATGTACGGGAAACTTGGTCCCCAGTGAAGCAGTACCAAGGTAGTGGGGCCTGTTGGAGATGAGTGGATCAGGGAGCAGCACTCTTAGAAAGGGAATGAGTCAGGTCGGTGGCACCAGGTTAGCTCTCTGGAATATAGGTTGTTGTAAAGGGAGGCCACCCCATGTGCTTAGTCCCATCTCTCAGGAGCTGGTTCCCTTCCCACTTCTCTACCATGTTATAACAGAGCCACAGAGGCTTCTCTAGAGGCCTGCACCATGATGTTTTAACTTATCAAATTTCAGAATCATTAGCCAAAATAAACCTCTTTAGCTTATAAATATAAGTACCCAGCTTCAGGTATTTCGTTGTAGCAAAATACCCTATTCCTTTTAAGCAGTTAGTACCATTACCTTCTCCATCCATTGCTGCTGGTAACCATTAACCTGCTTTCTATCTATGGATTTGCCAATTCCCAACATTTCATGTAAATGAAATTACAAAATATGTAACCTTTTGTGTTTTTTTCTTGTGACACAGTATTTATAGCTCTGTTGTACCATATATCTGTGTTTCGTTCCTTTTAATAGGAACTGAATGGTATTCCATTGTGTAGACATAATCGAATTTTGTTTATCCACTCATTGGATGATATACATTTGGGTTGTTTCTACTTTGGGGCTGTCATGAATAATACTGCTGTGAATATTTGTGTGTAAATTTTTGTTGACACACCTGCTTTCAGTTCTCTTGGCTGGGGATGCTGACAGGTCATGATACTTGTTTAGCTTTTAGGGAACTGCCAGCCCTTTCCACAGCAACTGCACCAATTTACATCCCTACARTGAGAGTCCAGCGTTCTCCACCTCCCCACGTGTGTCCTTGGTGGTAGCCGTCTGAGAGATGTGGAGTGGAGTCTCACTTTGATCTACATTTCCCCGTGACTGACCACACGAGCCTCTTTCCATGCACTTCCTGGCTGTTTGTATCTCTTCTTTGAAGAAGTGTCTATTCAAATCCTTTGCCCATTTTTAAATTGGTTGTTGGTTCTTCTCTTAGTGGGTTGTAAAAGTTTGTTGTGTCTTCTGGGTAGTAAACCCTATTCAAAGTATAATTTGCAAATAATTTCTCTCCATTCCATGGGTCTCTTTTCATTTTCAAGATACTGTCCTTTGATGCATAAAAATTTTAATTTTGATAAAGTCCAGTTTACCTCGTTGCTCCTTGCACTTTTGGTCCCTTACCTAAGAAACCATTGCCGAAAACAGTCGTGAAGACTTAGCCCTGTTTTCTTCCAGCAGTTTTCTAGTGTCAGCACTTAGATCCAGGTGTTTGAGTCATTAGGTTAATCTTACATAAGGTGTGGAGAAGGTGTCAGCTTCATTCTTTAGCATGTGTGTCCCCAGTTGTGCACCTTTGCAAAAGAGGCTGGTCTTCCCCCCAACAAATGGTCTTGGGGCCTTGTCAAGTATTACTTGGCCTCAGGTCGTCAGAGCCTGTGTGCTCGAAGTTCTCCCGTGGTCCTCAGGTGTGTCCTTGCTAGTTCCTTACTCTCTTGGTAACTGTTGCTTTCTGGTAAGTTTTATAAGGTAATRTGAGTCTTCCTGCTTTGTTCTTTTTTAAGACTGATATTCCTATCCAGGTTCCTTTGCAATTCTATGAATTCTAAGATTTGCTTCCATTTCTGGGGGAAAAAAAAACGGAAGGGGATCAGGATTTTGATATGGTCGCCTTATCTCTGTGGACCACTTTGGGTGGGATTGTGATCCTAACAATAGTAAGCTTCCAAGTATGTATCCTTCTGATGCTCATTTGTTTTATTTCATTCTGTTACAGAAGATGCTTTTCATGATTTTATTATTTTATTTATGAGGTGGGCTCTTGCTGCGTTGCTCAAGCTGGTCTCAAACTTGTGTGCTGAAGCAGTTCTCCTGCCTCAGTCCCCCGAGTAGCTGGGGCTCCAGGAGCACACCCCTGTGCCCAGTGAGTTCCTCGTTTTTAAATTTAGTGAGCCCTGTTTTATAGCCTGACATATGACCTGCCAGAGTTCCGTAAGCATCTGGGATCAGCGTGTCTTCTCTTGTTGGATGGCTGCTCTTTGTGCCTTTTAGGTCCCGTGAGCTTGAAGTGTTTCTTAAATCCTCTGTTTCCTTATTAACCAATATGAGTTATTTTATTCGTTATTGAAAATGAGGTATTAAAGTCTCAAACCACTAGGAATAGAACTCTTTCTCCTTTCGATTCTGTCATTTTTTTATTTTGAAGTTCTATCAGGTATGTATTGTTTATAATTACTGAATTTTCTTTGTGAATTGGCCCTGTACGTTTATATCGATGATGCATATGACATCTTTACTCGTATCTTGCATCAGTCTTCTCTCAAGCGCAGCATTCAGCCTGACCTCAGCAGAGGCTGCCCTCTCTTCTCGGCTTTTGTCTGCAGTGCCTCTGTGCATCCTTTTCTCTCCTCTCATAGTCAGCATGTTAGTGTCTTCACTGTAAAATGAGTTTCCTGTAATACATAGCATTAACTGGATTATTTTTACATGCATTCTGCCAAAATCTGCCTTTTAATTGAGCTTCATCTTTTTTTTCATTTTTGTTTCTCAATTTTTCCATTATTGTTCACTATTTTCTCATGGGCTGTTTTGATTCCCATTCTTTTGTGTGTTCTTCAGTTATTTTCTTAGTGGTTGCCCTCAGGATTACCATTTATGTTTTCATTTGTTATAACAGTCTAGTTTGGTTTAATACCAGCCTAATTTCAATAGTAAAAAAGACTTTACTCCTATGTAGCTGTGTTCCTTCTCCCATAGTTGTTTTGTCTCAAATTGTATCATCATGAATTGTGCGCCCATTAAGGTAGATTTATAATTAATCAATTTAGGCCTTTATCTTTAAGTGATATCAGAAAAATAGAAAAGTTGCAAACCAACCCTATATCTTCCTTGACTTATATTCAGCTCTATGTTTACCTTTACCTGTGTTCTCTAATTCTGTTTGTCCCAGTGCTGAGGATGAAAGCCGGGCAAGTGCTCTCCCTCRGAGCCGCCCCAGCCCTGCCAGTGCTCTTCCCTTGTGTGGATTGGAGTTACTTTCCATTGTCCTTTGATTTTAGCCTGAAGGTGTCCCTTTAGCCTTGTTGTTGTAGGGTAGCTGTACTCCAGAGTTCTGAACTCCTAGGAGCATGGGGGACTGTTCAAAGCCATACACATCAAACATCTTTTTCCCCACTTTTTCTTCCAGGCTTTCTGGTCGTACTAGTTTTGTTTGCATCTACTCTCTAGCAGGACTGACTGGTACATTGGCCTTTAAATCTGTCACATGTGGAAGGTTCACAGCCCATTTGCACTAGGTTTACTGAGAGACCAAAGACGACACCTGGAGAAGGGATGTGAGTCAAAGGGTTAATTGAGAAATGCCTGCAGGGAGTGTCCAGGGGCAACAGGCTGGGCCAGTAGCACCTTCGTCCTTCACAGTGCTTCCTTGAATAATGCCTCCATCCCTCACAAAATGACTCCAGAAAACAGCATGTCCATCCCTCTCAATACTTTGTCCAGTAGTCACTGGCTAGACAAGTAGCACTTGTCCTCTCCACAGTGCCCCCAGTTCCACACCAGTTACCACAGGGAAAGGGGTTTATAAGCTAGACTACAGAAGCCAGCTTACTTTGTCCCTGTAGGACCAGCACCCAAGGAACTTGGCATGTGTGTAAGCAAGCAGCTTTCTACAGGTAACACTCCTTACCCTAATTCCCAGGGTCCTTCAGAATATTATGTATCTGGACATTCCAGCTTAGACTCACCCTCATTGTTCCATTAATTTGGTTAGGTTTGGGGGAGAGGGGAGGGGCACTTCAGAGGCATGGTGTTTTACTGCCCTCCTCTGCAAAGTTAACATGGGTCCCGGATCACAAGCTCGGTTCTCAGAGTTGGGAGTTAGACAAATAAGGCAAGCCCTTTGACCCAGTCCTGCAGGAAGCCCACAGACAGGTCAGAAGAAATCACTGAGTGAAGTCCACTGTGCTCCCTCCATGAGTAGTAATGCTGGCTCTGTCTTCCCTGCCAAAACAGAGAAGATTGGTCTGGTTCCGTTAAAATGTCATAATATTCTTACCCAATTCCAGCTATTTATTTTTCCCTTGATTAGACATTTAACTGACTGCTATAAGCTTTTGATAAGTTTCCAGAGCTCCAATAAAGATGATCTTGAACATTTTTGCAGTTTATTTATACAGTCTTTTGTGGAGGGATGGGCGCTTAGAGTTCCCTACTCGACTGTTTTCATTGCTGTCACTGTGGACAGTCTTTGTTGAGCGCCTCTCTATCTTGGGACTGGGAAGGTTTGGGGATAGTGGTGAACAAGGTAGACAGATCTGCCTCCTCACAGAGCTATCTGTCTAATGCCCTCTCTATGCAGAGAACATCTCTTATCCTAACTCTCAATACTAAGTGAGGGCCTCTAAAAGATGTGTCTGACTTTAGGCATGGGCTTCTGGAATTATTTAAGCCCTATCATCCTGAATATTGAGTTAAGGATACTTTCATTTTTGTTCCTTGTAAGTTACAATGCTCAGAATTTAGATGAAATTATTCCACTGTTTCTAAAGTCATACTTTTCCATCTTCAGAAGTCTTGGCTTTAGTTTTCATGGAGTTGCTGTCCTGCAGACAGTCTCTGCATACCATGTGTATTTTCTCCATAAATAGGGTGTCATGTTGATAAACACAGTTTGATCTCCCAGTTGGAGCAAGAAGACAAGACGGTGACAGAGGAGAGAGGAATCCTTCCCAGCACCTGTCCAGGTGAGCACCAGGTAGATATGAGTCCTTGTGAGGAGCGGCTGTGGCCAGGGACTCAGGAGTTGGGAATATTATCAGAGAATTTGTAAAATGACAAAGACGGACAAGGAAGTTTCTTGTGTACTCTTTTTCTTTTCTCGTCAGTTCTCCATCATCTCATACTTTACTTTTGCTCTAGGGAGAAACTAAAATGCAGCTGTTTTCTAAATTTAAATCCCACTTTTCTTTTCTGATAATACCTTGTTAGTCTTTTATTAATCTTTCTAGAATCCTTTATTTTAATTAGTGAATGATAATTATACATAGTAGATTCATTATGATATGTTTGAACATGTACATAACATAATTTGATCAACTTAATGTCCTTCCCTTCTTCTCCTCCCCACCTCTGATCCCCTTTCTTTATTCTCCTGGTCTCCCTTCTGTGAGGTCCCTTTTTAAATTTTTTTTTCTCTCTAGCTTCCACATTAGAATTGTTTTTTAAAAAACTAATACCTAAAATTTCCATAACAAAGCCCCCTTCATTGCAAACCCCTCCAGGACCAATTGCAGTCATGTGGTGGTCTTTTCTTTTCCTCGTCAACATTTCTTTTCAATTTGTTTCAGATTTGGATACTGTACTTAAAACCAAATGGCTGACTCCTAAGAAGCATGTTTTTAGAAAAGAACAGACTAAAAGTATAAAAATGGTAAGACAATGGATGATTTCTGGTTTTCCATAGTAGGAAGAAATCCCATCCTAGAAAAGAAATAACCCAGGCACTCATTGTGGAAAGTGTCATTTACACTTGAGAAAATGGTGTCCCTAGAGAGATACTGCAAAACTGCTGTGACTTTGGAGAAAAGTGTAAGTTAACTTCTAACTTGTTTCTTCACCGAGTGTTCTCACAAATAATTATTTCATTAAATGTGACTCAAGTTTTGTCCATTTGAAACATAAATTGGTCTTAAATTTATCAGAAAATGTCTGGTGAATATAAATACCTGTGGCAAAGCATCTCTCTTTTTCAACTTCAAAGACTTAAGTCAGAAGCCATACATAAGCTGAAAGTAGCCAAAACATCAATTATAATGATGTAGCAAAATTCCTAGAAAAGAGAATTGATACACAAATATCAAATATTTAAAATATTATGTTATAGTTACCATTCACCTCTCAATCAACAGGAAAGAAGTCATCGTGGAGTGAAAATCAATGAATGTAATCAGTGCTTTAAAGTCTTCAGCACCAAATCTAACCTTACTCAGCACAAGAGAATTCACACTGGAGAAAAACCCTATGACTGTAATCAGTGCGGAAAATCCTTCAGCAGCAGGTCTTACCTTACTATTCATAGGAGAATTCATAATGGAGAGAAACCCTATGAATGCAATCACTGTGGGAAAGCCTTTAGTGATCCCTCATCCCTTAGGTTGCACGTGAGAATTCACACCGGAGAAAAACCTTATGAATGTAACCAGTGTTTTCATGTCTTCCGCACTAGTTGTAACCTCAAAAGCCACAAGAGAATCCATACAGGGGAGAATCACCATGAATGTAATCAGTGTGGAAAGGCCTTCAGCACCAGGTCCTCTCTTACTGGACACAACAGCATTCATACAGGGGAGAAACCGTATGAGTGCCATGATTGTGGGAAAGCCTTCAGGAAGAGCTCCTATCTGACACAGCACGTGAGAACTCACACAGGAGAGAAACCCTATGAATGTAACGAGTGTCGGAAATCCTTCAGCAGCAGCTTTTCTCTGACTGTGCACAAAAGAATACATACTGGAGAGAAACCCTATGAGTGCAGTGACTGTGGGAAGGCCTTTAATAACCTCTCTGCTGTTAAGAAGCACTTGAGAACTCACACTGGAGAAAAGCCCTATGAATGTAACCATTGTGGGAAATCTTTTACCAGCAACTCTTATCTCTCTGTGCACAAGAGAATACATAACAGGTGGATATGAGTTGTGATGAGAAATGACTGGAAATCTCTATGAGAAAGCACTTATTGACCTCTCACCCTAAGACAACCTGAGAGAACTCAACCAGGTATACAAGTTATCTGTTTCTGCCTAACAAATCATTCCCCAAAACTTTGACTTAAAACAAGAAGCATTTATTATTTCACAGTTTCCAGAAGGAATTCAGGAACAGTTTAGCTTTGTAGTTCTGGCTCAGGATCTCTTGAGGTTTCAGCCCAGATGTCAGGCAGGGCTGTGGTCAGCAGGTCTTTGCTAATGAAGGGTCCATTTCCAAGATGGCCCTCACATGCCTAGAATGTCGGTGCTGGTTGTTGACAGGAGACTTCCTGACCACATAGGCCTCTCCACAAGGCTACGTAGCGTTACGACGTGGCAGCAGGTTCCTCCCAAAGCAAGTGATTCAAGGGAGGGCCACTGAAGAAGCCATAATGTCCTACCACCTAGGCGCAGAAGGATGTTTTCACCTCTTTCATATGGAATTGGTCACAGAATGATTGTGATACTGTGTGGGAGAAGACTACAGAAACATGAGTATCAGGAGACAGATCAGAGACCCTTCTTAGAAAGTTGCCATGAAATTAATGAAGAAAAGCTTTCAGCAGACCCTCATCCTTTTAATCATTGTGACATAGCCTCAGTAAGCTCTCTGGTCCATCCATTCTGGAGAGAAACCTGTGAGCACCGTCTCTGTGGTAAAGCTTTCAGCCCACACTCATTCCCACGTGCCCGAAAGATTATGTATTGGGAAAAAACTGAGGAGTGGAATGACGATAGGAAACCCTTCAGTAATAGCTCCCACTCAGGGGAAAGCCCTCTGAAGGTCAAAAGAGTGTGTGTCTGACACACGTGAGATCACACAACAGAGGAAGACTTCAGAAATGTGTAAAACCCTGTGGCCCAAATGTCCACATTACTGACCACGAGACAGTGAGGTATGCCCACAGTGACTATGGGAAAGACTTGAGAATGTTCTGGTTTTTTCGTTTTGTTAAGTACTGGAGCTTGAACACAGGGCCTTGCGCATGAGTGCTCTACCACTGAGCTACACCMCCAGCCCTTTTTGAGACAGAATTTTGCTAAGTTGCCCAGACTAGCCTCAAACTTGCAATCCTCCTGCTCCAGCCTCCCACGTAGCTGGAGTTAAAAGACATGCACCCCCACATTTGACTTGTTCTCTCACTTTTTTAAAGACGAAAATTTATTAACACAAAGAACAGGGAAAGCCTTCAAGGATGCCTCTTGTGTTAAATGGTCCCTGAATGCAAAACCTATAAGTGTGTCTGGAAGTTTTTCAGTGATTCAGGAACTCACTGGAGGACACCAGGGGACACCAGGAGTGGAGTCTGTTAGATGCCTCCGTCTCAGCACTTCATGAATGACTGCAGAATAATCTGTACTGGAAACGAACGTACAGTGAGTGTAGAGTCCCCTGCCAACATGTCACCTGCAGGCTGGGCCACTAGCTCATTAATTTTTCAGTCTGTTTTTTTGTTTTGTTTTGTTTTTAATATTTTCTAAGTTGTCAATGGATCTTTATTTATTTATATGTGATGCCGAGAATCGAACCCATGCCTCACACATGCGAGGCAAGCACTGTACCACTGAGCTATAGCCCCAGCACTTCAGTATGTTTTCATATAAACGTTTGTGTCTTTATCATTTTCCTAAAATGAACCCTAAGTTGTGTTCCAAAATTTTACTGCAATGTATTTATTATAATTTACTCTTTGAAAACATTGGTACATTGCATATTCAAAAAGTTATTTCTGAATAGCTCCTGAATGCTCTCATCTTAATGGACATTAAACAACATTTCTGGTGCATTTTTTTCAAAGTGGTATTTTTGTCAGAATTTGTGGRCTTTATGAAGCTATTTTCTCCTATACTTGTGTGACAGATGCTGTTAGCTTCTTTCCCAATGTCCGTTCTCCCCTACTTACTTAACAGTTTGTTCAGGTTGTCTGTAAGCAAAATTGAAAATTATCTGCCACCTTTCCTAAAGCCCAGGCAGTCTTTGTTCCACTCTGCTGGACACGAGGACTGGGCAGGACTCACTGGGGGCAGAGGACTGAGGGAAGCTCTCTTTTCTATTCATGTTACCGTTACTTTCTCTTGGAAAGGTCTGCAGTTTGAAGGGTTTATTTGTTTGGGGGGTTTTGTTGCCCTTTTTTCTTTTTTTTTTTTTTTTTTTACTGTGTTGTCAACTAGAGTGCAGCAAAACTTAAAAAAAAAAAAAGAAAGAAAGAAAGAAAACGCTTTGGGTCCCTCAAGAGCCTCTGGCTGTATCAGCCAGAGACTGCTTATTCTTGAGATTTTTCTTCCTTTGATTAAAAGTAACCCCTCACTGGCTGAAGCCAAAGTGATTTGTTTTCAAGATGGTGTTAACTTGCAGCTGAATGTAGTATCTAACCATAAACCTATTAGTTTGTCACATTTTATCCATGTTTCATGTTTCTTTGAAAACTGTATATTCTTTAATATGTAGACATAGGGCATATGCATATTAATACAATCTTATTGTGTTATAATATGTACTGATTTTTTTTCTTTTAATCCTACTTAGTGATAGAGGCATAGTAAAGTCTTCCATTATGACTATGGATTAACATTCCTCCTGTAATTCTGTCATTTTTATTTATTTTGATATGCTGTTACTAAGTACATACCAGATTAGGAATTTTCTTGTAAATCATTCCTTTTATGTAGGGGTCATGTTTTCGTATAACAAAACATTATATTGCATTGATAATAAATGATCAAACACTTACATAGCACCTTAAGAATGCCTTACAAATATCAACTATTGAGTGTTCCTTAAGTATGTTGGTTATTATCCTACCTATCCATGAGCAAACTGGTGTGGTGCACTTATGATATTTGCCTCAGTTCACAGGCTAGTAGAGAGCTCACATTTGAACCCAGACAGCCCACCCTCTTGACCACTAACCTACTTGTTGAGTACATTCTATTGAACTACTTCATCCTAATGGGAAAGGGATAGATTATAGGCAGAAAACTAAAATATTCTAAGATTTGAGGAGACTTGAAAACTTAACACATTTATGTAAAATAGGAAAGTAGACCCCTCATTTAAGGGACATTTGAGCAGAGACCTTGATGAGGTGGGACAGTGAGATATAAATTTGTGTGGCAAGAGCAGTCTTGGCACACAGAGGCCCATAATGAGGCCAGTATGGTGACAGGAACGTGTCGGGCTGGTATTGAGGGAGAATTGGAGAGGATGTGGTCAGAGCCATGATGGTGCTGATCTGCTTTTCTGGGTCATTGTTAGGACTTTTCCTTACACTCTCAAGTCAATTGTGGAAGCAAGAGTTGTGGACACAATTCAGGGAAAGCAAAAAAGTACAAGGACCAGTATCAAGAAGGCAGAACTCGTAAATCATGGCAAAAACCCAAATAGATAAAAATGTTGGCAGCTTATCGCTTAGGGCTAACTTATTACAAACTCCTCCCAAGCTAGAGGACGGGAGGAGAAAAGGGCAGGGGAGGCACTGGGGAGCAAAATTGATCAAGTTCTGCTTTTCTGATGCACAAATATACCACAGTGATACCTGCCATTCTGTGCAATTAACATGCACCAGTTAAAGAACTCTTCCCAAAGGAAAAGACCAAGAATCATAAGAGGAATGGGTTAATTCCGAGTATGTCCATTCACAGAAAGTACAAAGGTTCCCAGTGTAAGAGAGGTTGCCGACCTCAGCCTAAAAAGGAAACTTAAGAAGTAAAATACTAGGGCTGGGGCTCAGTGGTAGAGCCTCAGCACCATAGATAGATAGAGGTATTGTGTCCATCTACCAAAAAAAAAGTAAAATGCCAACATTCCCTTTTTTGGTTGATTCGTTTGGAATTTTTAGTTTAGCAAGACTGTATTGGCCAGTAATGTGGGGAAAGTGGCATTCCCACAGCATAACACTAGGAGCTGAATTAGTACAAATATCTGTAGATGTGCAATGACCTTAACCTTACTTTTCTTCCAAAGTAGCTGAATCTACTTTGGAAGAAAACACCCCTCCAATACTGTTAGCACTCAGACATGACAGGAAGCCTGTGTGTATGCGTTGTACAGCTCAGGCTGATAGATTCCCTTCAGGTCTAGACAACAGCTATCGCTTCCATGATGGATTTTCCTCAACCTCAAGTTGAGTGGGAGGGCATGGTGGGTTGACAGGTGTCTGCCAAAAATTTGCATCTACTCAGAACTTCAAGATGTGATCTTATTGAATATGAAGATCTGAAGTTGAAAACATCCCAAATTAAAGGTGTCCCCTACCTTCAGTTATCTGGTGTCCTTACAGGAAGGAAGGAGAAAGACCCAGAGGAGGGAGCTGGGTGAAGAGGAGGCCAAGTTTGGAGTAACTGCTACGAGCCAAGGCTGCTGAGAACTGAAAGGAACGCAGGATTCTCTGCTGTAGAAAAAATAAATGAATCCATTATAGAAGTCTTCCTTGATTTCACTCAAAACAAAAACTTTGAACATTGTCTTTAAAAGTCTGATGATCACCTGATTTATCCTATGGATGCCCTGAAGATCCTTAGCCACACCTAATCCCTTTGTTTAAATTTCCCAGGCCCCCAATTATAAGCCCTGCCGCCTCCATTTTTCAATGTAACTCACCAAAATCGTTGCCTCTCTGAGAATCAGCTGGGATGATTGAAATACAGGGGAGAGAAAACTCAGATGAATATTTTAATACAAGAAAAAAAGGGAAGAAAACCTTCATGGAGGGAGGTATCAGCTCACCTACTTGGATTGAGTTGATACCTCAGGACAGATACTAGCTTTATGCAAATGGAGGGCCAAGGCGAGCCTTGTTTGACCATCCTCACGCCCACCTGTACAGTGGCCACACAACCTGTGCAGACATTCCCACACTGACCCACACAACACCACTCCAGGCAGGAAGGAAATCCTGAGGAAGCCCTGGCCCAGGTTATGGGATGGAGGAGGTGCAGAATATGCAGATTCCCTCACACTGGAGAGTTAAAAGCCACCCTAGCCCTGGGGGGACTGAGCCTCACACATCAATTAAACCCAGAACCTGTTTTTAGGAGACAAAGGCATAGCTCTCACCTCCGACTATGCCACCTAGTTTTCTTTGAACCTCTGCAATCAGGTGCCCTTCCCCACCCCTGCTACAACTGCTCTGTCCAGAGGTCTTTGAGGAAGTCCAGATAATGCTGGAACCTTCCAAACCTACAGGAGGCCTTTTCCTTCCTAGTGTAGTGAAACCCACCCTCTGGCTTTTGAAATGTTTTTATGCCAGATACCAGTTCATCACATGCTTAATGAATAATTGTGCATGGGGCAGGTGGACAAGGTCCTCAACTCAGAAGTTAATGTAGGGATGAATAAAATGGACCTGCTGCCAAATTTGTCTCAGGAAAATTCCCCTGAGAGCATTTAAAAATCTCAGGCCAGGCGTGGTGGCGCATGCCTGTAATCCCAGGAGGCTGAGGCAGGAGGATAGAGATTTCAAAGCCAGCCTCACTAAATATAAAAAAATATAAAAAGGGCTCTAAAATATAAACATAAAAAAAGACCCCAGAGTTGCTGGGGTCTCTGTAGCCTCTGCTCTCTATGACTGCACCTGACCACATTGCTAGGGTGGCTAGATAGTCGAGTCACCGGGCTCTGAGCTGCTCAATCTCATAGGAATTTATATTTTATATAAATATAATAAAGGGCTGGGGATGTGGCTTAGTGGTTAAGCACCCCTGGGTTCAATCCCCAGTACAATAAATAAGGTCAAATCAATAAAAAATTCAATGAGGAAATTTTCAGGAGATATATATATATATATATATATATATAAAATCTTAGGAATCACAGGTTACATAATTTTTATATGAAGAGGTCCTAGAACTAAATTAGCACATTTCAAAAAAGTAAAATTGACAAAATTTATGTTAAAATTAGATACAGTCTCAACCTTAATGTCTTCATGGAGTTGAATGATGATCCCATTAAAGGAATCTGGAATAGGGTGTGAGCTCTTCCTTGAATGTAAAACACTAAGTGATCCCTCATGCTAGTTTACCCCTGCAGATTTTAATATGAAGTGGATGGAAGTTATTATAAACTGAAATTGAACAATTATAAGTCAACATCTCCTTTCTCATATGAAAGCTAGTGTCACAAAACCATCTACTCCACGCTCATCTCAAAACGAATTTAATTACACAGAAGTAGCATTAAAAGACAAGTCACCCTGCAGTCCTTTCCCCTTGGCAGTGCCCTCTTGGCTTCTAGGGGTCAGACCGGCCCTCGGGGCTCCTGGTTTCCTCGGCCTCCCTGGCCAGCCTATCTGCCATTAGGGCCTCAGCCAGCTTCTTCCTCAGTTTCTTCACTTTCCACATCTGTCTCCGGATGTCTGCACTAGTTACCGGTTGACTGTGGAAAGATGGTGAGTGACGAAGACCCCCTCCTGGAATCATTCCTCTCCCACATGGAGGCTGGCCAGCAGGTTCCAGGAAAGGGTGTGGGCCCCCAGCACCAGC